CTAAATGAAGAATTTATAAAAAAAAAAAAAAGGAAAAAGAAATGCAAAATTTGCAAAAAAAGTTTACCCAATTTCATGAGTTTTATAAAGGACAAAAAATAAAACATAATTTTAAATTGTATTTTTTCTTGCATAGTTAATCATTGGTTAACTTTTTATTAAATTCTTCATTGAACAAAGGTCATTCATTTGATTAGAAAGATTCCACCAATTCCGCTGATCAACTGATCTCATTAATTAGTGCATTCAACTGTCAAAAGAGCTGGCATTAAAAGCAAAAATTTTTATCAATCGACAAAAATGATGCATTGTTTAATTTGAATATATTTTAATTGAATAATTATATTTTTATGCATTTTAAAAATAAATTTATTTTTGCATATTTTGCAACTATTAAATTAAAATGAAAAAGAGCAAAAAAAAAATAAAAAATGGGAAAAAGAAAACAAAGGAAAAAGGAGAAACGGAAAAAGAAATATATTAAAATTTCCATTTAAAATTAAACTTATAGTTTATTGATTCGTGAATCATTTAATAAATCCTGATAATTAGTTCCGATATATTCCGACAATATCAATGAATCATTAATAATAAGATACATATTTTATCTTTTTCTTTTACGAAATTTAAAGTGGTAATCTTTATTGAAATACTGTAATTAATGTGAATGAATCAAAAATATCATAAAAATCGTACACTTACTAGCAGATGTTAACTTTCCATCTGTTTTATGTTTTATCAATTTCTTCATTTTCATTTTCCTATTGGACTAGTTGATAAACTTAAGATTTATCCAAGTTTTGATTGTATTTTTAAATATTTACATCATTAAACTATTCATCAGTTTCAGCAAATAATGCAAACTAATTTGGTTTCATTAAAAATAGTATAATATTTTCATTAAACATTCTAACTTATTAGTTATGATTCTGACCTTGAGGTCATTTATGCTAATCTTATTTAGACAATTTGGTTAGTACTTTCAACTGTTACAATATTCTTCATCTAATCCTGTTTTGTCTTTGATGCTCAACTTCTGATGTTATCAGACTAGTTTCCAACTTCTTTCTTCAACACTCTTTGGAATTTTGTACTGCTATTGTAATTTTGATATTTTCCAAATTACTCCAATCAAAAGTTAAAATTTTCATTTTTCAAATTTGTTTTTTTTATTAAGCAAGAAAAATGAAATGTTTCGTTTGCAAAATAATTTGTAATTGCAATTGGACATGTTGAGAAGCAGAAAAAAAAACAGAAATCTATGAAATAATGGAAATTTTGCTGTAATAAATTATAATTTCAAAATATTTTCCAATATTTTTGCATAAAAATTTCTATTTATTACTATCATTATTGATTATCATTTTGTATTATTGCGACATTACTTTGTTTAATATAACTTTAAGTTTTCTATGTTTATGATACATTTCAAAATGTCATCTGAACAGTTGACGATAAATGACTGTTACATTGAATGAATATTTATGTCAATTAAAATTTTAATGCACTTTTGTAAAATTGATTATTCAATCAATTCACCATCATCTAAATCACTATCAATTATCAATATTAACAGCAGTTACCATGTTATGGTCATTTGCCTGAAGTAATCGGCAATTAAATGAATTAAATTAGTTACATGTAATTAAATCATCAATGGAAATTTTCGATGTTTTAAATATTTACAAATCAATTCAAATTTTTATTACTATTAACATTTATTACTATTTATTTGTTTATTTTTTTACTATTTATTTGTTACTAATTTTCAACTTCAATTCACTTCTTCTAATTTTGAATTAAAAAAAAACTTTCAAACTTAGATGATAACCGTTCATCCAGTGATGATTTTGAGTAAAAGATTGAAGCCTCAAGTGAACTTTGCTCAACTGGGCAAGAAAAGGTTTGAAAATTTGGTTTAAAATATTGGACAAAATTAAAAAGTACTACTCAACTGAATTCGCTTTTATTTTATGATATTTGCTCAATAAATGAAAGAATGAAACTTAAATACATTCAAAAATTATTTTACCTTTCATTTGAAGTATAAAAATGTTTAATAGTTTATTCATCATTTCAGATAAATCATTGTTAATTGCTCATGCAATTATGAACTTTTTCAATGTTAAATAAAAAGTTTGAATTGAAAAAAAAAGTTTTTAAAATATGAAACCATCCAGTTTAAAATGATTATTTAATATTTTATTTGCAAATTTTAAACCATTTCACATTGATTAATGAATCAATGTAATTTCTTTACCATTATTATAATTTGAGATATTTTTTTAGAGGAAAAAAGAAACTACTTCTTACATTCATCAAGATAAATTAATTAATAATTGGTGCACAATTTTACAGCGGGAATTAAAAATCGAAATTGATTGTAAAGTAATGTTAATTTTACCGCATCAAATATATATATATATATATATATGTATATATATATGTATTTGCCAATTGTTCATGTAAATATCAATTTTAATTGGTCATAGAAAATATTTTAAAATTTGTAAGTTACATTTCGAAAACAGAAACAAAAACAGTATAGAATAAAAATTTAATTTGAACAAATTCAAAAAAAATGCCATTTCAATAAATTTTGAACCATATGAAAAAGTTTATCGCTTTTTTTCACGGATAGGAATAATGTACGGGAAAAAATCTTTTCCTTCAGTACTCGAATTGATTTAATATCCATAATAATAGAGCAGTAATAATAAAGATAACAATAATAATAATGATAGTAATAATAATAATAATAATAATAATAATAATAACACAATAATAATAATAATAATAATAATAATAATAATAATAATAATAATAATAATAATAATAATAATAATAATAATAATAATATAATAATAATA